TATTGTAATTATTGACATTTAGACTAGTCATGGTTCTTTAACGTTTGACAATGCCCTGAGGACCTGAGCTTGTTTAAATGCATTACAGAGCTAAGAAAGTACATGAAGACAAGGAAATTTTCTTTTTTTTTTTGAAATAACATGAAGACAAGAAAATATAAATGCTTAGTAAAAAGATCTTTTTATTGACACTTGCTAAGAAAGAAACAACAAAACTGGTAAGGTTAGAGACAGAAGATAAACCCTCTCTAAGCTTTTTGATTATCACATTGGCATCTGGCATTGTTCCAATAAATGTGCCTCCAGGACGAAGTAAGGCTGATACATTTGCCAAAGCCCGCCTTGCACGTGCTTCAGTGCTCCAGGAGTAATGCATGGCAAACTGCAAAATATATCTAATTGTTCATAATCTAAGAAATCATGAATAAGCAAAACAAATCAGTTATCTGAATTCATATTTCAGATGACAAGGTAAAGTGCATTATTTTCATGTGACCTACTGAACTATCATCTGAACATGCATATCCACAGATATTCAACCTCTGACGAGGGCAAGTGATAACACCAGAACCTAAGCCTAGAAATTAACTTGAGTAAAGATCCAAGTTTGGGACTCCCCATATTGTTTCCAGTTAAAAACAGATGATGGCAAAATAAGAACAGAATAACTAGAAGTAAATAAAAGACAAAAAGGTATCCATCGGATGGTTCGAAGTTAATGAAACCAAAGATATAAGGTTGGGGGCCAAGAATGTTTAATGCTAGTACTAATGGAAGTACTAATGGTAGAATAAACATATGCAAATCCACACCTAAAGAAATTACATACAGAACAATTAGATTCAAACTTCTTTTTCCCCCCTCAACAAAAAATATTAAGAAAAAGTCGCGGTATAGAGAATGAAGCCTTTCCCATTCAAATAAAATTTTCAAGGAGGTATTGAGTTCCATCACTATCTGAAATTATTCAAGATTAAACATGTGAGACATGGTACATTAATAAAGAGAAGTTGCTTCAATACACAAGATTTTCAAATACAGTAGATTATGCTTAATAATTCAAGATGAACCAACTAAAGTAGATCATTCACCTGGCAACTGCAGATATCAAAAGGTGCATCATCAGCTAGAATTTTGTCCAATTCAACCTGATAGCAAAAGTAAAGAGCATAAATTAGCAATTTGACCACCTATTTTTTCATTCAACAGACTGCTAATCAATGCTGACATGTCCATATAAAAGCAGATAACAATGATGTTATTCACCAAAAAAACTACAATTCTTGCAATTACCTCAAAACAATCACCGCATATGAGGCGCGCAGGAAAACTGAATTTATTACGACGTTGGTGATGGTTAGCATCCCCATTATAACGTGTATGACAATCTTCTATCTGTGCATGAATATTGAACACCAAAAAATTGAGTTGGCTAGCAGGCATAACATAAAGAGAGAAGAAAAAGATTTATTTAAAAAAAAAGAGAGAGAGAAGGAACAGATAAAATGAAGTTTGTGTGCATCATTGAGGCAATAAGCACAGGTATAATAGTCTACAATTCTAAATTTCATAATAACATGATAATTTTGCAAAGGTAACAAATAATTAAATGTGAACAATTACAAATAGCATCTTGTGCATGTTTATTTTAGAAAGGAAAGCAACGTGCATGTTTATTTTAGAAAGGAAAGCAACCAGTTGAATGCCACGTTAATAAAGATGTTGCCAGGTGAAATCGATCAATAAGTCTAACAATATACTGACTAAACAAGTGCTGAAAGAGATCCACAACTCCACAACTGTTGTTTCATGGCAGTCAATGTAACTAATACATCCAAGAAAAAGAAACTGCAAAGATATTAAATATGTCACTTTACCGAGCCTTCAGCTATATCAATCCCAACATAGTATCCAATTTTTGCCTTATCCCATTTTATGAGATCACCTCCCTGGTAAACATGAAATAGTCCAATAAGCATAAAGTTAGGAAATTCTTCAACCGAAGTACTTGCATTGAGGGTAACATATAATACCTTTCCGCATGCAAGATCAAGAACAGCATCTCCTCGACGAGCATATAGCTGAATTAAGACACTTTTAATCTGGCCAATGATACAAGAAATTATTCAATCATATGACATCAGTATATTCACTTCTTTAAAATGAATGCCATGAAATTCAAGACTCACCCAATTATTAAGTTTCTTTAAGTGAATGATTGGACTTGCTTCTCGTTCTTCTAAAGTTTGGTTGGTCCTCCTGCTGTAGTGGTCAGCCACTTTTCTGGCAAAGTTCTTTGTTGTTTCATCCTCCAAAAATTTTGCATCACCTTTAAATCACAGTGGAAAATTAGACTACCAAAGAGAATCTAAACTAAATCATTTGAGCGTTTTGAGAACTGCTGGAGTAATTAAGTAATATCCCAATTCCCTTCTCTCTTGAGGATCACCTCCACACCCGATTTAAAATTCCACTTTGGAATTGGATCATTTCATAAGCTTCACAACCCAACAATACCTAAGGCTGTTGAACGAAACGAAAACAGAAAGCTCAAGAAGCATAAAACCGGCCCCAAAATCACCATTAAGCTATACATTAAAATCATTTGGTAATCTAAATTATAAAAATTTTCTCCCTTCAGTCTTCCTCACTTTCTCAGCAACAAACAAGACCAAAAACTAAACCCAGAAAACTATAAAATTGTAGTCCTAAAAATTTTAACAAAATCAAACCCCCCCAAAATTACAAATTAAACAACAAATTATATGAGGGTTAAAGAAATTACCTTCTGGGTTATACTTGAATCTGGACTGCGGTGGCCCAACAGAGCTCGATGGTGATTCTGAGTAACCTCGTTTCATGGCAATATGCAAATATTACAATACGTAAACCCCTTATCGTAGAAAAACTTCCGGGTTTGATCCAATGCGAGTTAAAAGTTTTCCGGAACAAAGAAAAAGAAAACGTGTTCTTGTGCGTTCAGGTTCAATCAGCCAGACAAAAAGGAAATCAAACTGCAAAAAACAATAGATATCATAATATATAAATCCGTCAACCATGAAAACAAATAAAATATTTGAAAATTTTCCCAGAAAAAGGGGAAAAAAAAACAAACGAAAAACAGACAATACCCTTTTTCGTCCGAAGCTGAGCAAGCAAGACTTAGCGGAGGAGATGACCGGCGGTGGTGGCGTCCGAGGTTGCAGAGATTTGGAACTGGAAAAGGGGGTTTAGAGCTTGACAGAGAGTAGAGAGAAAAGGGGAATAGCGAATGAGAGAGCGAACGTCCGATTATATAAGTTTAACAGACTTACCATCGTCTTAAGTTTATTATACCCCTAACAATGGCAAGAACCTGTTTGGCAAAATATATACATTTTTTATTTTTTTATTATATAATATATATTTTAATTTCTTATCATAAATATATATTTTTTTTTTACTCTTCACCATTTATTTTTTATTTAAAAAATATAATTTAGGTCTACATCTTTCATAAAATCCAAACTAAATCATATCTTTCTTTCTCCTTCAAAATATTTGCTTCATTTGTTTTCTCATCCTAAGTTTTCCATTAAACTCATAAGCATAAATCACATATTATAGAAGACACAAATTTATTCTCTGTCTTATGTACCAAAATCTTCGACGATCTTCGTATGAAATATCATTCCCTCCCTTTGAACTTCTATTAGATCCCTCCAACCCCTCTCGATAACTATCTAATCCTGAATACAACTCTCGACATAATAAAGATTCGATATTCCTTATCTCTTGCTTCACCAAGGATATTTTTTTATAATTGGATTTAAAACTTCTTATCAAATTTAAGATACCTTATATAAAGTGTAAATACCCAAAATTTAATTAAATAATAATATTAAATTTTATAAAATATTAGCGAAAGCAATTAAAAATTTATAGTTTATATTCTTTACACAATTTAATTAGAATGTTCAATAAGGTTACGAGAATGTCTATTGAAAAAAATTAAAATAACATAAACAAAAGTGTAATTAGAAACCTATGTGGTCGACCTCTGCTGCGCAACTGGTAGAAAATGGAAGACAATATTTAATTGCTAACTTTTTTACTGTTTATTATTCGAATTTTGGTCGTCTTGATCTGAAATGATTAATAAAAGAAGATGAACTATACTACCTTAATAAGAATATCAACATTTTGTCACTGATATGAAAAACTAAAGATTGGTAAAAATTGCATAACAACAAATGAAACTATTTTTCTTTTTAGATAAATTTCTTTAATTTGAAAAACATTAACTTCATATTTACCTTTTAAGTTTTCAAGTACCACGTATGAAGAAAAAAATCAAGATAGCAATACATTATATACTCTAAGAGATCATCAATAATTAAACTTTACATTTTTACTTACTTACTAGTGCTGCTGGGAGTCCATATAGGTTTCTACTACTCGTGAACCTAATATCCATTTTATTAATTAACCGACTGTCTTCATACCTCATCCAATAATGGGTGCCAAACGTACCACTGTCTCAATACCCCGTCCGGTATGAGAGTGAACAAAATACTTTCCAACCCTTTCCGTTATGGGACTTCTCAGCTCCGTTCGACTAAGAGTAACATTCACAATAGGGTTTACCCTATGTACTGGGTCCATATACCATTTTTCATGACACCCGGTAAGTCTTTTAGTCTGATAATGTCAACTAACATATACATGTCCACATCATCATTTAATCATAATTACAGACAACAATCTCATTTCATAATTATAGGACAATAAGATGATAATTAAACAAATAATATAATTTAATACTCGATAATTAAAGAAGACAAAGTCACAACATTCATTCAAACCAGTTAACTGATGGAGTAAAATAGTTGAGTAAACTAATAAGTGAGAAAATAATTAAAAACTAATAAATTAAAGTGCATGTAATAGCGGTAAGCAAACAAACAGTATAACAATAAATAAGCAGTGCAAATAGACTAGAGCAATTTTACACTGATCAGTTACTAACACCATCGGTGACTTGTATTTAATTAATCAGGGGTTGCCAATATTTAAATATTTCACCATTTATTATTTATTAGACTTTAATTAACCGCAACGAGAGAAATGATGAGAGATTCTTACTCTGGGTTAGTGTTCGAACAATTGCCTTTTTCACTGCACTTTCTGGTGGTTCTTGATTCTCAAATTTCTTGAGTTTTTATGCGAAAATTAAAAATACGCGTCAAATATCCTAGAAATAATCGCAAAATGGCCAAAACAAGTTTAAAATATTTATGGGACTGGTTTAGGGTTTCGGCACAGCGGTGCCATCTCCGCTGCCTACGACGGTGCCTCTTCTTGGTTTGGCCGGTCCTATGCGAAAACCTGTAAAACTTGATATTAAGAAGCTTATGTTGGAGAAAAAGGGAAAAAATTTAGACTTACAGGCAGGCGGGGTTTCTGGTACGACGGCTCTGCCATTCCTCCTTAACGGTCAGAGTTTTTCTTTAATTGCCCTGTGTCAAAAACATGTAAGGAATTCAACGGTCGAAAAATAGAAGGGAGCGGGAAGGGGATTCGAGCTCACTAGAGGGTTTTGGGTCTTGGTTACAGCAACTCGGTCGAGGTTCGTCCTCTATTTTTGGCTTCTCCTTTAGTTTTTCGGCGTTAATAAGGGTTTGGGGTGGCTTAGAATTATAAGACGAATCGAAAGAAAAAAAAACTCACTTTCCAGCGTCAGCTATGGACTCCGGTGCAGCAACAATGGCTGTTGATTTTTTTCTCCGACAACTGGTTCACTTTTTGGCCACCTCTCTTCTTTTTCTCTGATTTCTTCTTGGCGGCTAGGGTTTTTGGGGTCCGGGTATAAATGTTTAAATACCTCTATCCTTTCGATCTGGGTTATTCGTTCGAAGATGCGTGACCCAACCTCCACCATTAGATTCATCTTATTTGAAAAATAAATAAGGACTGCACGATTGAATGCATAAATACTGTTCGATCGTGCCTAAAGAAAAATTGAATCTGGATCGTTCATGCACGTGAGAATCAATTCTGATCCTGGGATCGGTTGGCACGCGAATTGCTCGCGTAGCTTCCCGCGTGGCCGCATGTCCGTGTGTCTGCCAAGCGGCACATGACGACTGACCGTGATGCTGATGTAACAATTCCACGTGGCTATTTTTTTATTTTTTGCATTTTGGCCCCAGTTTTTTAAATTTCTTTTCAAATAAGTTCTTCTTTATTTTTAATTTGGCTCTAACTTTTAAAAATTATTTTTAAATATACCCAAAATGTATATTTCTTTAAAAAATTTAAGAAAAATTAAAATCAAAATATTAAAAATTATTATTAATAAAAATTTAATCATGAGTCTAAATCTCATAATTGAGGTGTTACATAAAGATTTTAGATCCATATCACAAAATAGAAATTAAAAATTTATTTAATCACTCAAGAGCTTCAAAAGAAAGACAGGTTCATTTTGAGTATTTAAAATAAATTAAATTAATCTAGATGAACTTGTTACTATACGCTATTCCCTATTTCTAACTAATCTAATTTTATCATTTTTCAAATTTAG